AGGGTCCTGAGTTCGATCCCCAGCACTGCAAAAAAAAAAGAAAAAAAGTGAACCGATTTTTTTGTCACAACAGTAGAATATTGGTTGATAAAAATTTATTATGTTGAATATACATGTTTTCATATGCAGGTTGGAGACAAAAGAATAGCTAATGAGAAACCAAAACATGTGACATACAACAGAATATTGTACTCAAGTGGACTTTATGGTTAGGGCAGTAATGGCCAGATCAACTAATATGTCAGGAGAATACTCCATACATGAAGATAGGATGTGAATAGAGAATTCATTCACATAAGTAAAAAGAGAAGGTAGCCAGAATATTTCTGAAAGATACTAATACTCACTATTAGTCAAAGATAAATAAGGTATTTTGTAGTATGCTAAATTAGTGAGGATTGAACACCTAACATTGACAAATGTTCTTTTATATTCCTGGTGGAATTCATATTGCTGGGTGTACTTGTTGAAAAGCAATTTAGCAGTATATAACAATAGCTTTCATAATATGTCAAAAAACTTATATAAGCTTCACTTTTTAGAAAACAAGATAAATTTCATTCTATTTTTCACAAAATGCCTATACATACTTCATATGAAGAGTTCAAAAGAGAATAGAAATTCAGAGAAAAATTTAATGATATAATTACCTTATCCCCAGCTTTATTGGGATTCGAATGGTCTGTCTTTTCTATGTCTGTATTTTTGTTATAGTACGTTTTATAATTGAAGGAAAAAAAGTAATTTGTGATCTGATATAAAACATTGAAGAAAAGTAGTTAATTTTTTGAGATTTGAAATAATAAAGTACTATATGTTACAACTAAGGAACTTCATCTTATAATGTATCATATTGGTCATTTGCCAGGCAGATAATTTTCTTATTCAGTAATTAATCCAGCTTAATATTTTATATATTTACCTGTTTACAAGGCCTATGACTTAAAAATCCTTATAAGGTTTATCCACTATATTGTGACATGCATTTGTTTATTTGGTTTTCAGTAACTCATTGTCTAGCTCTGGTTCAACTTCACATGGGAAAACATAAAACTCTGTTTCAGAGAATACAAATAATAGCTGATTTTTAGTATTACAACTTTTATTATTAATAGTTTCTGATGATTTAGTTCATTTTACCCCTTTTAACATCCAAGATTTATTTTTGTAATATTTTATGAAAAGTTCAAAATTTTAAGAAAAGTTAGATCTTACATTTATATAGCTACCAACCTCAATTCTACAATTAATAGTTTACTATATACTTACTTTGTCTCCTATCTGTTCCTCTCACTCTGTCTACCTGACAGTCTCATTTCTTATACTTTTCAGATGAAGTTGAAAGTATCAGGATATTTTATCATACATGTCATTAGTTAGAAATCAGTATTTCTCTTTTGAGGTAAATCTTAATAATATGTAAAATATAGCCACATCACAAAAAGTTTCATACCCCTTCCCTGCCAATTTCTATCTCTTTTAGCCGTTTGCCATAAGAACCATTATTAAGACTTTTTTCTCATGTTACTATTGCTTATTCTAAAAACTCTATATAAATCAAATTATATTGTAGATTTTCTTATATAAGGCTTTCATTTAGCAGAAAGCAGTTGAGATTCACTCATGTTATTGTGTATGCAGAATCAGTTTTTTGTATTTATTTTTTAACGTAGTACTAATCCTGAGTTGAAAACATTTAATGTGAATTTTTTGAGATGCCTATGTATATAATTTGGGTTAGGTTTTTTACTTTCACTGTCAAGATATTCCTTCCTTTTAAAAAAATTGATAGCTTTGCTGAAATAAAATTTAAATGTCTTAAAATTCACCTATTTATATTTTGGGTTCCATGCCAAGATGTAAGTAAAGAGCAAAATGAAAGATAATAGGAAATAAATCACTTAACAAAAGGAAAGGTGACCAAAAGATGGAGGATGGGAGGAAGGGAAACCATGATTTAAGATGAAAAAAAAAGATTTAAGATGTTTTATTTACATGTCTCATCTGCCCCTGAGAAATATATACTGCAAACACATCCTGACCAAAAAAAAAAAAAAAAATCAATATTTTACCCATTTAAAGTGTGTAATTCCGTGTTTTTTTATTATATTTACACTATGTACAGCTATCACTTGAATCTACTTTCAGGGACCAAAATCATTACCTCAGAAACAAGTCTTTTATCTTGCAGATGCCACATGTATCTCTACATCTGAGCCCTAGGAAATGTCTAACCTGTTTTGTAGGCTTATAGGTTTACTCTCTCTACATTTTAAATACATGACAATTATACAACATGCAATTCTTTTGTGACTGAAATTTTTATAGCATGTATTATTACTGTCACGTTTTGTTAATAATATCCCATTGAACAGATGAATAATACATTTTAGTTCTCTGTCAGTAGACAGACACTTGGTTCTTTCTACATTTTTGCCAGTGTGAGTAATGTTGTTGTAAACAATCATGTACAAGATTTTGTGTGTAAGTGCAATTCACAGGTCCTATAGTAGCCTGAGCCTTTTGAGGAACTGCCAAACTGATTTCCAACCTGACTGTACTTTTACATCCTCATCATCTTAATGTGAAGATGACAAGTTCCCTACATTCTTGCCTACATTTGTATTTTATTGAAGTATACAATTTGATCGTTTTTCATATATTTACAAAATTGTGGAACTATTACCACTTTTTTAAAAGAGAGATTGATTGTTTGATTGATTGATTGATTGATTTGGTGCAGGGTTTTGCTATGCAGTTCTGACTCATAGTGATCCTCTTGTCTCAGCCTCCCTAGTGCTGAGATTACAGCCCTGCACCACTGCGCTTGGTGTCAGTAGCACATGCAGTGTGGGGCCAGTTCAGCATGTGGTACTACGGATCAAATCCTGGTTCTTGTACTTGCCAGGGAGGCGTTTAGACTGCCGAGCTATCTCCCCACTCCATTACCACTTTCTAATTCCAAGATCATCTTTAATTTCTTTTAATAATGTTTTACAGTTATCATTGTCTTAAGTTTTACATTTTTGTTACTGTTTTTCCTGAATAATACATTTAATGAAACTGGTTTATAATAAAAATTCATTCTAAAACCCAAACTGATAAGAGTATCAGAACAGACATCAGAAAAATTACAATGTCAAAGATTTGAAAGTTACACTTATAAACTATTTATAATATGACAAAAACAAGAATTTAATATATCAAAACCTTTGGAGAATTAAGTTTATTTTATTAAGTATTGGGGCCGGAGAGATAGCTTAGAGGCATAAGCACCTACCTGGCAAGCACAAGGACCCGAGTTCAATACCCCGCTCCATATGCCATGCAGCCCACTGTGCGGTCCCGGAACTAGGTTTGGTGGTACACGCCTGTAATCCCAGTACTTGGGAGGTTGAGCCAGGAGGATCTCTGTCAATTCGAGATGAATCTGGGGACTACAAACGTGAGCCAACTGGCGAACTACATAGTGAAACCCTGTCAAAAAAGAAAAGAAAATTAAGTGTTTTATTCTTTTGATATTATTGGAAATGAAATTGTTTTCTTAGCTTTATTTTTGAAATGTTAATTGATATTGTATAATCTGATTTTCTGTAAAAAATAGTTTACTTTCTAAACTGAATGGCTTTATATTCATTGGTTTCTTAAAATAAGAATTAATAGTTGTATTAATCACTATTCTCCTATATGAATGTTTTTTTTTTCCTTGATCTGCTTTTAGTATTTTCCATTCATACTTAGTTTTCAACAGTTTGATTATAATATGCCTAAGTTTCTACTGTCATTATCCCCACCTCTTGTCTCACCTATTGTTGACTCCAATTTCTTTTTCTCTTCTTTTAGTATCAGGAATCAAACTCAGGACCTTATGCCTGCTACACAATCACTGTGTCACAGAGTTACATATCCCCAGCCCAACTTTAGTTTCTACATAATGTTTTTTTTACTATCCTACAAAATCCTATGGCTCTGTTAATCTTCTTTTCAACCTTTTTATACTTTTTAATCTTCAGATTAAATGATTTATATTTATCCACATGGTTACTCTTTCCGCCATCATCTTTATTCCTTTACTTGACTATAAATAGATTTTTAATTTTAGATATTTAGTTCTTAGTTCTAAAATTTCTGTTGGTGTTTTTTATGCTCTATACTTTTCTGCTAAGATTTTTCTCTCTTAACTCACACTCTTTACATGCATTCCTTCATTTCACAATATAGTTATAATACCTGTTTTAAAATCTTAGTCTAAAAGGGCCAGCCTGATAAATCAGCAGACTAAAACGCCTGCTTAGGCAGAGCATAGGGGCTGGGATTGGATCCCAGCTTGCCTTGCCGGCCTCACCCCCGGGTGTTCTGAAATAGCGATTGAGACTGAGCATGGTGGCTCCCACCTGTAAGCTCAGCACTTGGGGGGCTCTAAGCAGAAGAATCACTACTAGTCCGATCTATATGGTAAGACACTGTAGACCCTGTCCTAAGTACAAAAAATTAAAAAACAAAAGTGAATAAATAAAATCTTAGTCTACTGTGTATCTGGGTATATGTAGTTTATCTTGGTATTAGTCCTAATTGTTTTCTTTTGACACTGGATCACATTTTATTGATTTTTTTTTTTTTGGTGTATCAAGTAATTTTGTATTGTATGATAGACAATATGCATCTTAAGTTGTGAAGACTAGAGGATTTTTTTTTTCAGATTGGTTTCTTTTTATTATATAATTATTTTATTCAAACTACATCTGCAAAAAGTCTTACTCTGGGCTTTTTGCTGTCTTCCCTGTGTGTGGGTTATGTGGCAGTCAGCCAGAGATTTGGGAGTGAAACTTGGTTACTATAAAGTGGCTTAATCTGAGCATCTTTACCTTTTTTTTAATAGATCCTAGAACTTAGATTCATGGTTTTATTAATTGGAAATATTGATAGATACTTGAATTCTAATCATTTGAAGAAAATTAAAATCCACTTAATCGATTTTACTATTTTTGTCTTTGTTATAGATCGAGCTGGCAGCATCAGTACTCTTGATTCTTTAGACTTTGCAAGATATTCAGATGATGGTAACAGGGAAACTGATGAGAAAGTGGCAGGTAAGATTATGAAGTGAGACTTGGATTATTTGACTTTCTAGAAGTAACAAGATGGTTTAAGAAATTTTCTTTTTCATTTTCTACACTATGGTATGATAATGTAACATATTATTATATAAAGTTGTGTTATTACTTACTAAACTATTGTAAGTTTGGGGTACTTGTAGTAATAACTCCCCATTCCAGTGAAGACTTGCTAGATTTCTGTGTGTGTGTGTGTGCATGTAACTGCAATTTGCTGAGTTCACATGTAGCTAGCAGTCAGAACAGTTGTACAACTGGTATAAAACAGGTTTAAATTAGCTGTTACAACTTTGTTGTACAAAGTTAGTTAGACATCAGCTTCTTCTTTTTTTTTTTTTTTTTTTCTTCCAAACCAGGGGTGATTTTCAGGTATGTGTATCATCTTATCTTTATTGTTAAAAACTGGTTAAAATAGTTTCATTCTATTGGGTCTGTATGTTTTGTTTTTTTCTTTTTGTATTGGGAATTGAACTTAGGGCCTTGTACTTGCAAGGCAGGCACTGTACTGCTGAGCTACATCCCTAATCCATTAGTTCCTTTCTGTAGCGTGAGTAAAACTTTGCCTGGAGTTCCCTTGGTGCTGCCCACATGTTTCTTTTTTCTAACTTTCCTGTGATACAGAAAATAGTTAGGGCTGGCCAGATAGCTCAGTAGACTAAAGTGCCTACTTAGGCAGAGCACAGCAGCAGGGGTTTGATCCAATCCCCGGCCTGTCATGCTGGCCCAGCGCCTGGGGTATGCTGAGACTGCGATTCAGACTAGGCGTGGTGGTACATGCATGTAATCACAGTGCTTGGTAGGCTGAAAGCAGGAGAATCACTGTGAGTCCAATCTATATAGTGAGACCCTGTAGACCCTATAGACCCTGTACTAAATACCAAAAAAGCAAAGAATCCTTGGCCAGGGAGATAGCTCAGTAGAACAAGCACTTGCCAAGGTCCTGAGTTCAGTCCCCAGTACTGCAAAAAAAAAAAAAAAAAAAAGAAAGAAAGAAAGAAAGAAAGAAAGAAAGAAAGAAAAGAAACAAAAAGAAAATAGTGTTAATGTTTGGGGCTATGGTGATAGCTCTGCCTAAGCACCTGCCTGGCAAGCACAAGGACATGGATTCCATCCCTGGTACCGCATGCCACACTGACCCTGGGACACTAGCACAGTGGCATAGCACACCCACCTGTAATCCCAGCACTGGGAAGGCAGACACAGGAGAATCACTATAAGTCCAAGCTGTGTAGCAAGACCCAGTACCAAATAAATCAATAAATACAATTTTTTTTTAAAAAAGGAAATAGTGTTAATGTTTGATGTAGTGAGGTGCTTATGGACTTTGCCCATTCCAGTAAGAAGGAAACATCCTTTCAAATTTCTTGGCTGCTCATTCCATTCTCCTTCCCCTTCTCATCCCTTCTTCCTCACCTGTCCTGCCTTCTAGATACTACCAATGACTTCAGAGGGCCAGTTTGTACCCTGGGTTCTCCCTATACCAGATCAGACAGTGAGAGTGGGGTTCACCCTGGAATTTGCCAGCATAGATGCCTTGGTACCTTCAGTGTAAACATCTGGTACCTCAAGGCTATGACTTCCTCCCTTGAAGTCATTCTTGATCGTGTTCCAGGAATTTTAGTTTTTAGGACTTTGGCCTGGAGATAGACTAGAGCAGTAGATATTACTTAAATCTTTTGAGCTCCATTGGAATGTGGCCACACCTGAAAGAGGAGGTGTGCCATATGAACTCAGAAGGCAACAGAAGGTCAGAAAATGTCCATAATATACATTCTATTCTATTGAATTTTTTTCTTCTGTTTACTGGTATAATTTCTTTCTTTCTTTCTTTTTCTTTTTTAGAGAAGGGACTACAGGGTGTTCAGGGTCTCGCTACTAGATCAGACTCATAGTGATCCGCCTATTTACAACCTCCCAAGAGCTGAGATTACAAGCGGGGGCCAGCACAGCAGGCCCAGGATCCAACCCCTGGCCCCTGTGCCTGCTTGCAGGCGCTTTATCTGCTGAGCTATTTGGCTGGCCCTTGGACCAAGTTTTGAATAGCTTCAAAATTCCCTAACCATAAAGAAAATTCAACACTGGTCAGAGAAAGAAATGGAAAATGAAAGGAGTAATGTGGAATAATTTATGTACAGAATCCAAGGTATGAACATGCCTTGAAAAAGAATGAAGTGACCCACAGCACCACACATACACACACAGTAAAAGGAGTTTATAAGAAAAGCCACAGATGACAATTTGCTATTAGATTTTTGTACTATTTTATAGTAAAAGCTTTGTCTTTATAGTAATGAAAACAAGAGTTAATTTAAGTAGTTTGACAATAGGGAAAAAAAGGTCATATTTAGTGTTTCAAGAAATTTAGTTTTATTGGGGAGAAAACATCTATGGATATCTTAAAATTATTTTTTATTAATCTGTTGTGAGCTATGTCCATAATTATCAGAGTTGTAGCTTATTTAATTGCAAGTACAGAACACTTTCATTATGAATATATGATTTATTAGTAATTTATTATTAGACATTATTTCAAATTTTTATATGAGCAACAAACTCAAGATTTGAATTTAAAGTTTCTTTTTTTTTTTTTTCTTTTTTTTTCGGTATTGAGGATTGAACTCAGGCCCTTGCCAGGGAAACACTTATTCCACTGAGCCATTTTCCGGCCCCCAGGAACAAGTTTCTTAAACCTTACCAAATGTCATGGCCATTATGGCATTTCATATGCCTTATTCTAAACCCTCTAATGTTGATTACTTATTTGAATGACAGCATTATTATCATCATGTACTTGCAGGGAAACAGCCTTTCAGAGAAATTATGTACAACCTCAGAATCAAAAGTAGGACAATGGGGCTGACCAAATAGCTCAGTGGATTAAAGCTCCTACAAGCAGGCACAGGGTCCAGGGGTTCCATCCTAGGGCCTGCTGTGCTGGCCCCGCCCCCCAGGGCACTCTGACGTAGCAATTGAGACTGGGCGTGGTAGCAAGCGCCTATGATCCCAGCTCTTAGGAGGCCTGATCACTATGAGTCCAATTTAGGGATGAGACCCTGAAACACCCTGTAGACCCTTCACTAACATACAAAAAAAAAAAAAGAACTAGGAGTCAAATTTAGATAGCCTACCCACAGAGCCCAAAATTGACTATAGCATATGTTATCCCTTGCCATGAAGGATTAGGTTTGACCTAATTAAAAGTGATATTTTTATTCCTTGCCAAAGAATAGAGATAATAAATATTTTAAACTCTCAGACAGTGTTATGAGTTAGAAAAATGTGGTTTGATTGCGTTATTTACCAAAAGTACTACAACAGCTCAGCACTGTAAACAATACCACTTTAATGGAGACAATTACTAGGAGAGTTTATTGTGTTTTCCTATATCAAATGCCAGCTTGATTGTTATCATCATTAATTGATTACTGTATCTACCCAACAAATCACATCAGTAATATCTAAATATCATGTTATTTGTCTAATTTAAGATTAATTTATCCTATCAGTTATATCGCATATCAAATAACATTGTTAGATAAGTATTTTTGTAATATTATTAAGCATGTTTTAATTTATTTAGCAGTGGTTAAGTAGATCAAGTTTTATATGTTTTATTGTGTGTATGGTTATTTATTAGAAAAAATTCTTATCTGGAAATTGGTCACATAATTATGTTCCTTTTAATTTTCATTAGAAAATTTAGGTTTTAGGTTGAGTCAAACTGAAAGGGTTCATCATTCTTATTTATTTTATTAGTTCTAACTAGGAGAAGACATTGATATAAAAGCAAAATGTTTAGCTTAGATTTGTACATTTGGAATAGTCTATTTATGGTACTACAGGCAGAAACAAGAAAAAGAAAACAGAATACCTCTGACCAAGTTTGCTGTGTGTATAACATTTTCATTTTCTGTTTTTTTTAAAACTTAGAACTTTTAGTAAAATGATTAATAATCTTATATCTAAATAACTTCTGATAGATAAAGAATAAGGAGGAGTATATCGGGTAGCCCACATACTTGTACAACTAAGAGTAAAATATATTAAATATGTTATAGTTTTGAACCCTACATTTTAATCTAAAGAATATACTATAATTCTAAGTTTGGAGAAATAAGTAATTTTTCATTATACTGTCTTATATAAATAAATGATTTCATCTTCTTTAGAAATGGAAAAAATGATGTTATCCCAAGAGAATAGTTTTCAGTCTTTTAATGATCTTGTGCTGTATAACTTGCTATCAAACTAGATGTTTGAATATGTGGATGAGACTTGCGTTGGCAAAGTAAAAAAGCTTCCTTTAAAAACTTATAAAAAAGCAATAATTCATGAAAGATCCTATTCTGTCATTGGATCATACATAAGCCTCAAAAATGATGAAGAAGCATCCAAGAAAGAAAAAAATAAATTTCTTTGCTGTGACAGTTTGGGTTGAAAGTATGGATAACACAAATATTCCATAAGATTATGATAACACAGGCAGTCATTACCAGGCAAATGTAGGGTTTTTTTCAGTTTTTAATCAGCTGTTGATATTTATAAAATAGATACAACATTTCCACAAAAATGACTTAAATAGTAACAGACATCAAATAAGCCTAACTGTATTTTTATTCCTTTATTAAAAGGTCTACACCTTGAAGATAATGAGACATTCATGTCCTAAATATTGGCATTGCCATTATTGTTATGTATTTTGAGCATCCATTATATGTTAGGTACAATATTACACACTACCTTAAAATAAAATAAGAAATAAACTTTCTCCCCATAAGGCATTGGTTCTAAAACATGCCTGGATCCATAATTCAGTCCTTTGGAAGTAGTGACAAGAACCTTGTTACTTTTAGAATCACCTAGATTCCTGTTTTCAGCTTCACAAGATCCATCTTTTAGCATCAGTGTCCCTAATTTTGTTTTTGTAGCTCTATGTTGCTGTATAATTTCTGTGCTTCATACCTTAACTCAGCTGG